TTTGCTTTCACACATAACACGTTCTTGTCCTCGGCGACATTATCCTGCGCAGACCATGAATTTGACATGCTGTGTGAGTGAGTGAGTGATTTTTATGTTGGAGAGGACACGTGCTATGTGTGTACGAATGTTCGTTGTTGTTGTTTGACGTTCGATGTAATAAAAGAAACCAGCATTTTAATGACCTTTTAATAAGGGTTGTCACTGGAGTGCTGCTGCGACATTGCCAGAGGTTGGTGTTTTTGTTATTCTTGTTCTTGTGGTGTTCCGAGTAATGACTGTTTTCGAATGACATTGTTGTTGTTCTTGTTTTTTTTTTTTTTTTTGTTGGTTACTTGAATGGGTGAGAAGGGTTAATTTGCATAAGTAAACAAATCCATATGTGGTTTTGCCCAGGAATTTACTGCCGAGCCTTAGGCGGAATTAACAACCACTTACAGACACGGGCAGACAGACGTCCATTGAGGGTTGGCATGCCAGAGGCGTTAATCAATTTCCCTATTTACAAAGGCTGTTTATTAAACAGATTTCAAATTAATTAGAGTTGGGAATATTTTATTTCCTCTTTGGTTGGGGAATTTGTTTTTTTCTTTTTAAGAAATAACTGTCTTTTTGTAAATATGCACTAATCCGTTTAGTGTTGTCAATGCCATTTAGTGTGACCTTGCGATGAGGTTGGGTTGGGTTTGTATGGACAACCTGTTGCATTGAATATACTTTTTTAGAGTAGATTTTCTGCAATTTCATTGTGAAATAATACATTTGAAAATAAAAAGTAGAAAAAGAAAAACATAAAAAATATTGTGTGGTGTAATCCATGTGGCACTTCTTAATAAAATTTAAAAGTAAATCCCTTTTTGAATTCATGTTACATCCTTGCCAGGTTATCTCTCAAATTTTCTCAACTTGTAATAATTTACATAAAACATTGCCAAAATTGCTTTATTCGATACTATTTAATCATACACTTCTGTCGAATGGTTATGGGCAAATCTAAAGTTTATCCCATTTGGCAGCTGAATCAAATTTTCTCATTTACCTAATTTTCATCATGTTGTTGGCTGGCTGGCTGGTTGGCACAGCTGTTGCCTATCGAATATTCATTACATCCTGCTCCTTGATGTCGCTGATGACGATGATGTTGTAATCACATAAAAACTGCTAAAATTACGATTAGATTTTTCAAAATTTCCATTAATAATGGCATATTTTGTCATAGGCTAAACGTTGATGTTATTTGTTTCATATTGGAATATGATAATCGAAAGCTTCAGCTGATATAAAATAAAGTCGTTAATTCAATATTTTGCCAAAATTATGGAGAAACAATTTCAATAAAAGTGATGCGAAATTTTATAACTCCCTTGAGTTGGGATGTTAAATTAAAACAACATAAATTTCGTTGAGTTGAAAATTTATGATAATGGAATTATTTTTGATTATATTTTGGGACAGGTATCGGAAAATGTGCGCTGTGTGTTAGATAATATCTCTTGCAATATTTAGCTGTGTTATTTTGATGGTTGTTTGAATTTTATGAAAAAAATAAATAAATTGTTGGAAGATGAAATGGAACATGGATGGTCAAGGTTTTGTAGATATATCAGGGGATGCTGGAAGAAATTAGATAGACATGAATTACTATGAAGTTGGCGCCCTAGTAAAGCATTCAGATTCTACTAAGTATGTTTAATATACCCTGCAAAAACTTGTGTGATTTATTAGCCGATTAACCCATGAAAAGATAATGTAATGTAGCTAAGGGGTGACAATAATGGATTATTTTCTAAAAAAAAAATACAAAGTAAAGGGGCTTAACTTCCTCATGACCAAGTAACGAATAGCGTCGGAACAGTGTTTACGTCCAACTACAAACCGAAGTTTGTGAGATCTAGACAGGACGTCGAAAAACGAAAAACAAATAATAAAATATGATGATTTATTAAGCTTTTTCTTATCATCAGCTACTACTTACAACAATGCATCCGAAATGCTTATCCAAAATTGATGGATTTTTGGAGAAAACCAAAAAAGCTATACGTTTACTTGTTTTAACTTTTTTCGTGCCTTGCGGCCGACCATGTGAGACGCTACTCTATTAAAAAGCCCCCTTAGGCCCAAACTCATTTTGGTCGATTTTCATACCCTTCACCATACTGTGGGTATATTAGCTTTGCAATTCCGTTTATAACTTCTCGAATTACTCGTGCTAGACCCAACAATGTATATATGTATGTTCTTGATCATCGTAACATTCTAAGCCGATTTAGCGATGTCCGTCTGCCAGTCTGTAGTAATCACGCTATCTTTGGAACGAATTGAGATGGAAGGCTAAAATTGAACACACACATGTATATTTTTCCAGTAGGCAGGTTAAGTTTGAAAATGAGGCCACGGTGCACGTTTTCGTATAGCCCTCATGTAACGGTACCTCCCGATATTCTGTATTTTGAAGATTTAAGAGACGTTATTGACTGGATTTGTTTTAAATTTCGTACTTAAAGATCTAGGCTTCTACAGTCTATGATTAAAAATTACTTTTGAGGTATAATATTCGGTATTTTGAAGATTTTAGAGACATTATTGACCGGAATTGGTACTACAGCCTATGGCAGAAAACTGCTTATTCAGATCCTCGTCTTCGTATAGCCCTCATAAAACGGTTTTAATTTAAGCACTGTTTTTCGACGATTTTTTTTTTAATTTTGTAAGTTCTTTCCAAATGATGGGGGGTATTAAAATTTCGGCCCGGTCAAACTTAGCTGATTTTTTACTTGTTCAATAATGCCACACAGTCTTTTTTAATAATGATACTTTTTGGTTTTTGGCCTGTGACATTTTACGACCTCTGTTGTGTTGATAGGTATTCAAAAAAATGTCACACCAAATGTGTGGTCCATTTTACCCGTTAAATATTATCCAATGACTATCTAAAATGCTTGGCTTCTGTCGTGTCCTAAATGTTATCCTTATACGAAACTATGTGTCTTTTGGTCTTTAATTGGGACCTATAGAGGGTCTGTAAAATCAGTAATTCATTCTAACTCATAAAAGTTTTGCGAACATCTTTAAAAACAATAGGCCAATGAGGATAGAAACAATACATGGTGTTATAGGGTGTAAAAATATTAAATATGTGTAAATTCCGCTTTCCGGACGAACGGACGCACATTGCTAGATCGGCTCAGCTTGGCGAGGTTGGAAGATCCATATTTTACATCGTGGACCTAGGACCAATATTTCAAATCAAACATATAATTTCCTCAACACAAAGTGTCGTAGGGTATAAAAACAGTCGTTCTATTTTTGTAGTTATGTAGTTGAATTTGTGTGTATTTTTACATTTAGGCGCGGATCAAATGAGAGTTCTCAGGAAGAACATTCAGAATATATATGCCTTATATACCCTAAAAATTGATTATCTGAAGAACTAGCTAGAGAAGAACTAGAGAGTTTGCTCTAAGGGTGAAATCTGCTCGTTTTCGAGTGAACTTTGACCCCACTCTAAAACGAGCACCGCATGCTCGCCCTTATTCGACTTTTGCTCATTTTGTTTTTTCTACTCCCAGGAGTGCTCCCGCTCGACTCTTTAACTCTTTAATTAAATTCTAGCCGGTTTGTGTCTTCGCTGATTCAATTTAAATTTTATCTTCGCAGGCATGAAGTCGTATGTCTTTTATAAGTAGATTCAGGGTAGGGTTCTTGTATATAAAGAAACATCAGAGTAACTTTTGCACGGGGTCGACCTTTATATGTTATCTAAATAAAAAATATTCTCTCATTTTAGTTACATATCATAATTCAAGAGTAGCATTGCAACTGGCCGTTTTAATTAAATTCTATTCCGACAAATGGAGAACGAAAATTACGAAAAACTAATGGCAAACTTTGCTGGTCTTATGATCTGTTTACAAACCAATTAATTACTTTAAGTCACATAAAAGTGAACTTACGTGGAATCACTTACATCAATATCCTGCAAATAATGTCCTCTGAGTCATGGCGAACATCTAGTACTAGTTAATTTGATGTAAAATCTAAACAAGAAAACACGTACAAAAAAATCATAAAAAACGACTTTTCTACTCTCGCTCACAACTCAAGGAATTGAATCAACATGACATCATGTTAATTTTTTATGATCTGCTTGTTTTTTATTTATTTTTTTTTTTAACTTAGGACATTTTTATAACCATACATACCTATGGATGTAGTTGACTTTCTTCTTCGTATATACTTACATAGCTATTTGTGTATGGACATGTTCTTTTAACAATTTTAATGCTGCAATGCTGGCTGGCTGGCTGAGGTCGTAAAAAAGTAACAAAAAAGGCACAAGACCTCCTATGGATGGTGTCCATGTGTGGTAGTTATTGTGTTCCAGTGATTACATGACTCTTGTTGTTGTTGATGTAGTCCTCCTTTGGAAAAGTCACTCTCTTGTTGTTTTCACCGAAACGGAGCGAAACGAACGACATACAATATGACCCCGCCAGTCAGTATATGGCTGTCATACAACACATAACAATAGTTGTATACAACAGAGTTACATGTAACTATGTGTGAGTGTGTGCGTGTGTGTTTGAGTAGTACACAATCACACATACATATGTATATTTTATTATCTATGAATAAAAATAACAATAACAATAAAACAAATAAATAAGTAAACAAATGAGTTCAACAAAGTTGAGAAACGAAAAAAAAACTAAAGCAATAATATTGTGGGATGGGCTGTAAAGTGGGTATGAAGGAGGAATAATGATAGGCCATTTGTTTACTCTGTTGTTGTTTCTATTTCTGTATGACGATCCATAAAAAATGGAAAATTTAATTTAAGAAAAACAATCTGCATTTCATTTAATTTTCCACAATAAATGTCAAATGTATGGCATTCATGTCGCTAATGGACACGACTGGCTTTTTTCCGATTTTGACTTTTATTTTAATGTCATTCCATAAATGTATTTTATTTAACGATGTGTTTTTTTTCGTTACAGGTGGGCACACAGACACACAAAAATCTGTATTTCAATTATTGATTTCAACAATTTGAACAAATAAACAACTACATTACACATATATACAGAGATATATTTTGGTAAGTTTAATATCTGATTGATGGTGACAACTGTTGAGATTTGCACATTGGGTGGAAGTGGAATAAAATTGGGAAAACATTGTTTGCTAATTATTATACAAGTTAAATTGATAAAATAACCATTGCAAGTGATCAGGGAAAGGAAGTATATCTGAAACTAGCCGAGAATGCAGCCTGAAATAAGTGAAACTTTAACTGAGGTCTTCTGAAGTAGAGTGAATCGAAATCCGAATTCAAAATTCCATATCAAAATACACTTATTTTTTTTTTTTAATTAATTAAATTTAATCGCCGATATCCAAAATAAATTTGGGATATTACAGCCAACATATGAAAACTAGGATAGCGTGACAATTTACATGAAAATCAAGTTGAGAGTCAAGATGAGGTTATGTCTTGCCACTTTACAGGCCCATTTCGGTTTAATCCAAAAAAAAAAAAATTAACTTTTCTGAACAATCAGTATACTCTCAGCCATATGGCTATTACAGTCCAAACTTGCCTAATAGCAATAATGACCAAATACATTTCGGGACAGTTAAAATTGATCTAGGAGTGTCCGTTTTATTCCATATATATGGATCAAACGTAGCCTGAGTTCAGAGATGGGCACTATCGGCCCACTTCTTCTGGTACCTCCTCCAATAATTTCAAATAAATAATTAACCTCTTAAAACTAGAAGGGATTATCTAATTTTATGCAAACCTTTCAATCCTAATATTCTTATAAATGGTACATCAGGTGCGAAAATGGACAATATCGGACCACTCCATCAAGTACATGCCCCACAAAGGGTTAACATTTTTGTTAATTATAACTCTTATAAAATGTAAAATAAGAGCCCGATTGTCTTCAAATTTCGGACATCTCAATATTTCTACCAACACAAAATTTGGTATAAAGAACGGACAGAACAGCCCACTCCTTCTGGTACCTCCAGCCCACTCCTTCTGGTCAACATTTTAAATAACCATGAAGGTCATAAATCGCGACATAAACAACCGATTATTTTCATTCTTGACACATCTCAGTATTTCTATCAACACAGATGTAAAGATCAAATATATCGGACTCTTCCTGTTGGTACCTCCCCCACAACGGGCAACATTTTTGAATAATTGTACCTCTTACCAAATGTGAAATAATTATTCGATTCTCATTATCCTAATATTTCCATAGACAATATACATAGTGAGATAAAAAACTGTAACAAAGTCAAACGCCATAATTTTTACTTTTTTAAATTTTATTGAATAAAAGCACAAAACTTCGGAAATAGCACCAAAATTTAGAATAAGTTTAGATTTCTTCAAATTAGTCAGCTTTAGCACGAATTATGGGCTTCAAACGCCAATGAAACCGTCACATGCTGCCCGAATGTTGCTCTGCGGCATTTTGACCCTTTTCGGCGAAGCGCTTGCTTTATGTGATCGACATTTTAGTATTTTTTAGAGACAACCTTGCTTTCCAAAATACTTCAGACACACGAGGAACCTCATTTTGTAACCGTTCTTGGGTGGCGTGTGCTGAGTGCGATGGTGCTGAGTCCTATTGGAATGTCCAAGTTCTGGGACCAAAATGTTTGCGTGCCCAAGACATTAATACACCCTGCAGAATATGTTCGCAATAATATTCGGCATTTATACTGTCGACTAATACGAGAGGAGAGCGACCATCGGCTATTATGGCGGCCCACACCATCACCATGGCGGGCGCTTGAGGTCTGGTGGCCAAACGAAGGTGCACATTTTCAGCTGACCTCGTTGGCAAGTAAACACGATCATTTTGTTTGTTTACAAACTGCAGGACAACGAATATTTTTTCTTCGGCTAAAAACCAAATTCAGAATGTCCCCACTTTCGGCCAAGTGAAGCAACTCTTTAGCTCTTTTGAGTCTATTTTCTTTCTGTTGCGGTGTAAGTTATTGCACTTTTTGAAATTTCAATGGCTTTACCCCGAGCTCATTTTTCAATATTTGCCGAATTTTGAATTTGCCGGGTTTCCATCAGGTCGCTTCTTTACTTTTCGAACCATTTCTGCTTTTTATGACGAATATACTTCCCATCTTGCCATTTTTTCGAAGATTGTTGTCTTCTACAAAAAACTCCTAATATTTCCCATTGTGGATCGCAAATATTTCCTTAACAGAGACACATTTTTCAGTATACAAAACTCAAGTTTGATAGAATTTTTTGATGCATTCGTAAAAGTTTGCATTCACCCATCCCATAAAAAATTGTATTCTACATAAATCTTCTAATATTTAAATATGTGTGTTAATTTATTGCTCCAGCTTGATATTCGCATGAATGTGCTATAATTCAAAATTTTATTAAATTATTTTCAAATCTACTAATTAAATTCCTATAATAGATGCAAATCGTTTTCATCTATAGTCCATTGAAAAATTACCACTCAAAATAAACACATCTTTAAATAAATTTCCAAACTATTATTGCTGATTAATAGCCTCTCCGGTTGTTCTATGTTCTCTCCCGGGAGTATCATTTCTAATGCCATTTGATTTATCGATTCGAACACAAATACCACATTCCATTCCAAAGCAAGTTGTATTATTAAATGGTATCAGAACAGCGAATTTGGCATTAAATTAATGAACTGAAAGTTGTTTGGCTGCAGTCATGGCGGATTTTCTGCAAAGTTTGCCTCAACAGGGCGATTATTGAATTTAATGACTTTCGCCCGGGTCCCCAGGCATTGGATAACAATAATTAGAATTTTAATTTCAATTTCCATTTCGTTGTCGCTATCGTTGCGAAAAGCATTCATTGCATGCTGCAACAACACAACATGCCATGGCCACCAATATCGGTGTTGTTGTTGCCGGCGCCATCGTCATCAGGTGGTGCATTCTAAATTCGGATTGAGTATACAAAATACATATCTGAAAATACATTTGATGAGATGTCGAAGGAGAGAGGTGAATGGCAAAAAAATGATGTCAAATTCGACAAATTTGTTTGTACAACAATATTAATTTCAATAGAATTGTACAATTTGCTGGGCACATTCATTATACATCCGTGTGGATCCGATGCCCCAAATATTGGATGGCCGCTTGTTATTTGATATCGTATATTATATTAAAACACACAAACGTACACACACATACACACTCGATCATTTATATCACATGGATGACCTTAATTATAACACATATTCAATTTGAGACCCCTAAAAATGTTGGAACTTTTTCGACAGCTTTTCCTAATAAAAATGCCATGCCATTCAAATTGCCACCCTGTGTGTGTGCTTGTATTTGCGTGCATGTATGTGTGTCGATTAATTAATGTTTGTTAAACACAACTATTTGAAAATCAATACTTCAATAAATTTAATGTGTTTCGAATGAAAGACAAAACCATTCATTCAATATCAATTACAATTTGTTGAACAAAAAAGAAAAAAAAAAGACCATAAACTGTGTACTTTTCATTTGGCTTATTTAGAACAATTTGCATTTATTTTTCAATCGACGGCAATTAACAATTGAACTGTGTCACCATTTAACACAGACAAAAAAAAACAAAAACAATGACAAAAACTCATTACAGTGAAGTTTGCATAATTTAAAATCGTTTTGTTTTTGCGGTGGAATATTTCACAGAGCAAAAAGGATGTGATATTAGGGTTGGGATAATTAGCCCCCCTTTTTGCAGGTAATATATGAAATGAAGAAACATATAAATATATCGCATTATATACGTATATATGAATGTTATTCATAAAAATTGTGTATTAACCTGGAATACACATTAGAAAATACATTAGAAAGACTAAATTGGATTAAATCGAAGGATGAAAATCCCTTTCTACGTGTGAGAACAGTAAATGGTTTCCCGAAAATATTAACCAAACAGTAATTGAAAATTATAGGCCTTCCTGTTATATATATTAAAATACATATAAAAGAATTTCGCAAAAATTGATTGGAATAAGATGAATGCCTAAATTTCAGCAAAAAAAATCTCATTGTCAAAAAATTCATTTAAGTACCAGTGACTACTTACAAAACTGGCGAAGTTCCGAAGAAGTGGTCCAATATTGCCAATGAGGTATCTGTGGTACCTAAGTCTGATATAAATATTACAACGTACCACATTTTGGAAAAAACTTAAAAATATTGGTTGGTAAAGGAAGTCAAACATTTATTACCAATTTTATGCGAATAATTGATAATCAAAATGTTGTGGTGAAGGTATCAGTAAGAGTGGGTCCATAGATTCCTTATTCACATCAGATCCCTGGTTGAGGGAGATATTTAAATATACCAACTTTAAAACGAATCGCTGACTTATGTCGCAAATTATGAGATAGTAAATACTTACAATTGTGACCCTTCTGAGGATGGTATACCAGAAGGGGTTGGCCGATATCTATCATATTGGCATCAGATTATGTGTTAGTACAAATATTGGAATGTGCAAAGTTTAGAAAGAATCAGATGCTTATTTCACATTTGATGAGAAGTATAATTATTCCAAAATGTTGACCGTTGTGGTCCGACAAATGTATTTCGTCTTCATACCAGACCTTGTGTTGATAAAAAATATTGAGATGTGCAAAACTTGAAGAAGAGGGGAGGTACCAGAATGAGTGGTCCGTTCTATCCGCTCTTGATGCTAGATCTTGTGTTGCTAAACGAATTGGGATGTCTGAAATTTAAAAACCATTGGACTCTCATTTCACATTTTATAAAAAAAAAATTAATCCTTTGTGGGGGAGGTAACTGAAGGCGTAAGCCGATATGCAAATGACCTAACACTGGTAAAAATATTGAGATTTGCAAAGTTTAAGTAAAATTGGGAGAACCTTTCTTGTTGTGTAAGGTATAAAGTACAATATTTTATTTTATAATAATTTTGTGAGGGAGTACCATAAGGAGTGGACCGAAATTACCCATCTCCGAACTCGATCTCAGTTTGACAATAATATTACTATATACCATGTTTGGACCAAATCGAACACTCTCTTCAAG